TTTGACCTTCATTATTTTATCCTGTTAGACGTTTGTGTCAAGTTTGGTCAGAATTAGTGGATGAATTTTTAAGTTATGGCTAAAAGCACATTTTGTGAGGTCACAGTGACCTTTGACCTTCAACCATGAAGATAAGTTCAGTCCAAGTGGACCTTTGTGTCAAGTTTAAAGAAATTCTGTTCTTGAGATTCACACTCACAAGAATGAAATGGATGCAAGGTCACAGTGACCATGACCATTTAAAACCAAAATCTGATCAGATAGTTGCGGAGTCTAAGAGGACGTTTTTGCCAAATTTGAAGAAATTTCCTCAAGACATTCAAGAAATATCATGTTGGTAAGAATGAGACAAAAAAGGTCACAGTGACCTTGACTTTTGACCCTCAAATTCCAATCAATCCATTCTCAGTTTGGGGCAAATTTGAAAAAAATCCCTCAAGGCATTCTGGAGTTGTCACATTCACAAAATGAGATGGATGCAAGGTCACAGAGACCTTTGACCTTTGGTCACCAAACTCCAATCAGTTTATTCTTCAGTCCAAGTGGATGTTCGTTCCAAAATTGAAGAAACTCTCCCAAGGCGTTTGGGAGAATGAAATGGACCCAAGGTCACAGTGACCTTGACCTTTGACCACCAAATTGTAATCAGTTCATCTTTGACTCAAAATGGACGTCTGGAGTTTTGTCATAATTAGTGTGTGAATTCTTGAGTTATGGCCAAAAACATGTGACAACCAAAAAACAATTCTAATCAGTTTATTCGCCGGTCCAAAAAGATGTTTGTGTCAAATTTAAAGAAACACACAGACGCATAAAAAACTAGAAACAAGAAAAACAGAAAGACTTTCCTGCAGGTGTCTTTGTCTCGCAGAGAGTCGTGACGTCAGAGCTGAACTGCTCCGACACCTGAACATAAACACACCTGAAGCTGCATCATCAGCACGTTTACCTGTAAACTGACCACCAGCTGGTCGTTGAACCTGTTCATGGAGGATGTGACTGACAGGGACAAGTCTCTGTGATGTTGCAGTCAATCAGTTCATAAAGCTGAAGTTAATTTATTTAGATTATATATATTATTTATATATATTATATATTCTTTTGCACTAAAAACATCAGCTAAAAGTGTTTTTCATTTTTGTTACAAACACTTTCTATGTTGCAATAAACCATAATTCATGTGTTTGGTTTCAGTTCAGGTTCAGTTTAAGTTTAGAAACAAAACCATTTCATCAGCTTTTCTGAAAAAGTGAAACCCTGGTTTTCTGCTTTAAAATAAAAGGATGTGGACGTGTCCTCTGGTACACTGACCAACGAGGGCAAAGTTGCTACAACATCCTGAAACATTTCCATCAGGAGGAACGAGCTGCAGCATCAGAAACGAGGCCGATTCAAAAGCACGTGCAGAAATCAAAAACAAATACAACAGAAACAAGCTGCAAATAAAAACTGCCTGAAACTTTCAAACGTGATCTTGAGACGTGTTTTTATCATCGCTGAAATTTATTTTATCTTGTCTTACCCTGAAGTTTTGACTGAATTTAACTTTATCTTTCATTTTAATTTTTTTAATCAGACGTTTTTATCATCTGTTTTTTCTTTTCATTTTTTATTTGTTCAGCATTAATGCATGAATTGTGCCTTATAGATAAAGTTATTATGATTATTAATGTAACGACAAAAGGTGCTTTAAATGTAAAATGCTGCTGCAAATGACAAAAAAAAATGCTATTAACATAAAAAGTGCTGCAAATGAAAATAATGCTTTACATAAACTTAATAAAATGCTGTAACGACAGAAACAAACTCCAGATGCAAAAACATGCTGTAAATGAAGACAAAAACTGTTGTAAACGACTTTAAAGCTCTGTGTGAACTCTTCCACGTTGTGTTGACAGGAAATATAACGAAGCTTCACGGCTCAAACTGAACGTCTCTGCTGCAGCTCTGTCACACATGAAGGTTGTTTGAGGGTCATAAAGTGCGTCGGCTCACAGTGAAGGTGTGTCGTGCTGTTCAGAGTCTCTGTTTTATGACCGCTGATGATCAGTAAAAATTTAACTGACCAACGTCTGAGACACACAGAGACGTCTCTTTCTCACATTGTTTCACAAATCAGAGTGACTCTAGGAACAGATCGAGCATCAACGTACTTACTGTTTAATTAAAAAAAATCACTGACACTCATTCTGTTTGTTTTAGGACTGTTGAAGCTCAATAATTTCTGATGACAGAATCAAACAGTAAAGTCCTAAAACTTTGTGTCAGACTGATTTAAATCAGTAAACTGTATTTTAAATAAAAGTTTCCACAGGTTTTTGTTTCTGTTCAGAAGCTCTGGTTCGTACTGAGACTCTGATGTGTCTGATCAGCTTCTGTACGTTAGACACAACACAACTCTTCTTCATGTTTCATTCCCTGAACGTCTGCAGCTCTCTGACCTCCATCACACAACATTAACACACTGTCATAAAGTCCTGATCCAGAATCAGCTGACTGTGACCGACTGGTTCGGTTGTGACGTCGTATTTCTCTGAACCTTCTTTTATCTGTTAGAACAGATCCAGTAAAGAAAGGTGACACAGCTGAGGCGGCGTGGTGTGATGTGTCCGATGAACTCTCACTGCAGGTCGCCAACATCACAGATGACCATCAGGAAAGAGGTCAAAGGTCAAAGACAGAGAAGCACTTCAAACGGGAAGTTAAAATGTGACAGTCAGCAGGAAGGCTGCTTCTAATAATCCTTTCATTTTCTTTATGTTTGGATTCATTCATTCATTATTCAGGATGAGGAGGAGGGAAAGAAATAAAATAGACAGAGTGAGACAGAGACAGAGTGAGACAGAGTGAGCGTGCGACACTTTGATCACTCTACATTCTCCTAACCCTCCCTCATGCTGACTCAGCAGAGTGCACATTTATAAACTATGTAGAAACCTCGGAGAATGTGTCAGTGAATGCAGCGCTGCAGCCGGACGGACACAACCCCTCTGTGGACAGACACACTGTCTCTGTGGACAGACACACCGTCTCTGCTCATCTCTAATGTCATGTGACCAGCTGATCAGTCAAAGCAGAGACACTGGACGCTGGTCAGAGAGTCCAGTTCACACAGAACCTCTCAGGAGTACGTCAGAGTCAGAGTCCTCAGAAAGATGTCGGCAGCGTATGTTTCTGTAAACCACAGATACGTCACTTTTGTACGTTATTATGGAGCAGATATATTTTAACTTTACATTTCAATAAAGCTGTGGTTATGTTAAGGATTTAAAACCCACGTGGTTTGGGCCTAAAACACCTGCTTTCAGTGGCTCATTCCCTGATGAAAACGCAGCAGTATCTCAGTAAAAAACAACCACTTCTGGTGGTGCCGTCCCCCCTGGACATGAACTCCCCGCTGGAAACTCAGTGATGTCTTGGTAACAAACAACCATTTTTGGTGCTGCAATCTCCACCGAAAATTCAGCAATATCTCAGTAAAAACAATTCCCTTTGGTGGCGCAATCCTCACTGGGAATGAAATCCCTGCTGGAAATGCAGCGATGTCGCCATTAAAAAACAAACAAAACATTATCAAACCTGACGTTGCTGCTATTGTCTTCAGCGTTACATCATCGTTTTCCAAACTTAAACAGTGACCAGAGTTTTGACAAATCTTCAGGGCGTTTTAAAGAATATCCATCTTAGGGACCTGAGAAGCCCAAACATATCTGGATACATATGGACAGGACCTCAACGTGGACATTTGTGCTTAATTTGAAGAAATTCCCTCAGGAGATATCATGTTCACGAGAGTGGGACAAACATACAGATGTGCGGGCAGACGGATGGACCGACAACCCGAAAACATAACGCCTCCAGCCACAGCTATCACCTGGACAGAGACATAACAAGATGCTGAGCACACTGCGACATGCATCGTCATTTTTTAGAGAAGCTGCATTTAAATCAGTCACGTTAGGCTGCAGCAGTCCCAGGAACAGGTTCTGAACATACAACCAGAGGAGGCGCCCCCTGCTGGATGTCATGAAAGAACGCAGGAAGGCTGCAGGACATTTCACAACGAGGAGACTCCACCTGACGTCCTGACCTGAAGGTGGAGAAACTCTGCTCCTTATACATCAAGTTAATCCTTGACATTTCCTGCTGCCTCAAACACACCGTCTGCACTGAGAAGTCACAGTCACTCAGAGACACGACCTTTAGCTCGTCAAACTGTTTTTATACAAAATAAGACGAATATGTTAAAGACGTCTCTGACTGAAGGAGAACTCAGACGGGACAGGTTCAATTTTACAGCAGCAGAGCGTCGACCTCTAACCTTCAAACCTCTCATGACCCACACACACACACACACACACACACACAGACAAACACACACTGAATCACACTCACACACAATACTACATAAAGAAAATCCAAAATATTCTGGAATCATCCACGAGCTCTCGCATCCAGCCAACAAGACAAGTCCAGAAAATTAATTCTGACATTCACTTCATCATCAGAGTTATTTCATGGAGCAACAATATAAAATAAACTCCAGTTTCACCTCCTGAGGTCACAGACCTGCAGCGTTCATCAGCTTCTCTTCATATATCTCTGAGTTTTAGACAGACATTTGAAGGTGTCACCAGCAGCTTCATAAAAAGGGTCATTTTCACTAATTTTATAAACTAATATTTCAGAGATTAAAGTGGTTTTGCAGCTCTGATGACTTCCTCTTCCTAAAAACCTCCAGTCACCTCGGTGGGTCAGATTATTGATGAATAACTGATGTGAACCTGAAAATAAAACTGTGTCCATAAAACTCTTTAAATCCCTCCAACAAACTCTGTTAAAGCTTCTGTCCATCAGTGTGTGTGCGTGTGTGTGTGTGTGTGTGTGTGTGTACTCACAGCGGGGAGCCATGGCGGCGGATCAGCGGCTCAAACTGTCAGCAGAAGCCCGGCTGAAGCGTCACAAGCGGCGGACACACAGAGTGAGATGTTCCCGGAGAGAAGCGGAGCTGCAACCGGCTCTGCACCGTCACTGAGTCTGACTGCTGCTGCTGCTGCTGCTGCTGCTGCACACACACCCAGCTCGACACACACACACTCAACACACACTCACTACCAGCAGCAGGGTATGCCATGCTGCGTTCAGGAGCGGTCGGAAATTTCGCAATCAAAAAGAGAGCCGTGCAGGAACAGCGGGTCCAGCTGCTGATGGACTTTAAGGCTTTTTTTAATGTTTCCATTTGACTTCATAAAACCAACATATTAATCACACCATTTTGAAAATAAAACTTAATGTATGCACATGGTGTGTGACATCATCATCACCTGTAGAGGCCACGTTCAGACTTATTCAACCTTAAAACATCGTTTTTATTTTATCTTGGAAACCATAAAGCCTCTCAGTGTTTTATTGAAGGTGAGTCATGAACAGAGGAGCTTTTATAAGAAAGATTAACGCTGCAGTGTTTCAGTGATCTGACTTTACGGACATGATGGATGAAGATGCTGCAGAATCATAGTGTGTGTTATTTACAGGCTGCTGGTTCAGGTCAGATTGTTCATGTCAGGTTAAAAAGTCTAGCAGAAGAAAAAGGTTCCCATGTGTCTGCATGGCTTTTTAATGTCTCAGTTAAAACAAAGCAATTTTGGTGTCACAATCAGCTGGAAATGTTCTATGTCTCCATTAAAAAACCAAAGACTTTTGGTGTCACAATCCCCACGGTTAAACATCAAATAGTTGAAAACATGCAAACTGTGGCTGAATGATGGTACGACGTCTATATGATCACCAGAACAACGTTGTCACTGCCTATTTGTTGCCAGCAGCGAGACTCCTTTTCTCTACAACTCATCACACATGGGGTTTGTCTGGCGGCCATCTTGAACTGATGTCCGCACTAATGGTGAAGAGCGCTGATTTTAATAACGCCCGAACTGGACGACACACAAAGACAAATAAAAAAGGGGTTTTGTATAACATTGACACCAGGGGCCGTGTTCACAACGAGAGTCGCTCCCAGTGACAAAAGTCTGAGGACATTTGTAGAATGATGACGTTCTCTAAGAATTTCCCCTTAAAGTTAAGACTAAGTCCTTGTAAAGAGAAAAGTTATTCACAGAGCATCTCAGACCTTAAAAGAGATCCTCAGGTGACAAACTGTTGGGAGCAGGAGGAGGACTTTAAGAGGTTTAAGAGTTTCTGAACCAGAGGAGAAAATGGTGGAAACACAAAGAGGTCAGAGAAATATTCTCCAAATACTGTAGGACAGTGAGTTAATGCTACAGATTAGATGGTGCAGGGAGAATATGTGTGGTCGATGTCATCAGGGATACACACACATTTCCCACCCACTAAAATCAAACTATAACACCAGAAATAAAACTGATCACAACACTGAGATATTTGGAAAAATGCATCAGTGCATCAGTGATGACTTCAGCCTGTCTCAGCCTTTCAGTCTCATTTGGACTTGCTTGAGTTTCTTGAAGATGTTTTGCAAACGTCTTCAAGAAACTCAAGCAAGTCCAGTTGCCTACGATATAGCACTTATGATTACCATGACCTGGATGACTGAGAATCTTCACCGACAACTCACACCTTACAGGCTCACAAAGGGTGTGTCTGTGACAACCAATCACATCTGTTAAAATAATGCATCATACCTAGCAACGCAGTCGACCACACCACCTCACTGAGGTAAAAGTTTCTGTCCCTTCCTTGCTGTGAGTCGCTCTGAGAACGTTCCTAAATCACTCTGAAGCTAGGACTGTTTACCACGATGAGTGGCCTAAGTTAGGAGCTCTGTGAGAGGATTCTCAGGATGTTTATACGGCCCTGGGAATCAAATGGAAAGGTCTGACACTGACGTGCTACAGCCTCTCTTTATTGGTAAAAAACAGGCAAATGACACGTTTTAGGCTCATAATATGTTTGTTCTTTTGTTTCGCAGTAGTTTCCTGCAGCAGCCAAATGTAAGAAGTTTATTATCTTATATCAGTTTTAAGGTTATTAAACAGTCGAGGTCTGTGGCACCAAGAAGAGTCAGCTCCAGGCTGATGAAGAAGACCTCAAACCAGACTTGATGGGAGAAACTTTGACCCACACTGACGGACATCTTGGACGCTGCTGTTTGTAGCAGAGTGTAAATATACGAAGAATAAACAAAACATGTTGGTATCAGGAAAATTGCTTTTCAACAAGTCGAGGCGGAGCTGACGCTGCTGCTGCACTCGTTCTTCAGTGTTCTTCCTCTTTTGATGACAGCAGACTAGCAGACACTTGAAGGCGTATACGCTGCCCCGTCAGGTCCAGAAGAAATGTGTTCCCAGTACTTACACTGCTGCAGAAAACCAAGAAACTTCACGATGTTATTTTGTCTCTTTGATGAACTTTATTTGTGGTCAAGCTACTGCAGCGCCGTCCTGCTTCCTGCTGCAGCAGTGATGGAAAATACGACTTCACTGAGCTTCTCAGCGTCTCCTTTCACTTTAAAAAACTCTGAGATGACTCAGCTGAGAAGTCAGCAGTAATCTGCACCTCGTGTCAAACTGAATTAAAATATCACTGCAGTACTTTGAGTCTGAGCTCCACCTATGAGCTGAGCACACAGGAGCAGCTGATCAGACTGACGTCAGCCGCCAGCCGCATCGTCAAAGACTGCAAAGCACGAGTGAGCGACTCACCACAGACCTGTGGACTGGACTAAATCAAAGAAGGTCACTACAGTGCTGATAAACCAGTCAACACGGTGGAAGACTCAGGTCTGCATGTTGTGACCAGTCATATGAGGCTCGGCTAATTTACACAATGTAAAATGCCATAGGCTTGTGCTAATAATGTTAGCATGTTTTATGGGGAAGACATTACCTTTGTTAAATGTTTCTGTTGCTGCTGGTGTCATATGAGAAAAGGAAAACTCCACAAACTAGTGGAGTTTTCCTTTTCTCATATAGCAGCTAGGCTAATTATGTATTTGTGGGGAAAATGTGTCCAAGTGTTTTGTCTGTGAATCGTCCGAGTTATAATGAAGCTGATTTGTGTACTTGTGTTTCACTTTGTCTCCATTAAGCCATGTTTAATGTGTGTTTAATGAATCTTTACAGAAACCTCCACTGCCGACCAGTGGTTTGGAGGTGTAACTGCAGAGTGACACAGACACCACCGCACAAGTATATTATGTATTCAGGGGACAATAGTTTGACACAAACAGGACCTGTATGAATCAGAGACAGAAACTAAAGTGGAACAGAAATGTGGTGATGCTGTCGCATTAACTTGATCATTGGACGTCAGTGAATCATCAATATTATATCAGAGTAACTGCACTTTCTCACTGGAGCAGTGTGATCCTTTTAAACAAACAAACAAACAGTCAGTGCCTTCTGGCGTCAGACACCGACGTCACATCACATCAGCTTGATATGAAGCCAGTCGCTGAAACAGCACCTGGCGGCATTAAGGAGACACAAAAATATTTTGTAAGGTCATTGTGATTTTGACCACCAAGTTCTAATCAGTTCATCACTGAATCCAAGTGGATGTTTGTGTCAAATTTGAAACAAAAAAAAATCCCTCAAGTCGTTCTTTAGATGCTGTGTTCATAAGAATTGGACGCATGGCTGGTTTCACCCCCTGAGGTCGTCGAATACCGGTGCTTGGTCAGTGACTTTTGGCACCAGACACCGACGAAAAAAGTTGTCCTTTCATGTTGGCATGATACGAGGCCAGGCTCGGCAGCATCGGGGGACACACAGCTGGACAACAGTGTAAGTTAAGGGAGCAGGAATCTGAGTAGGGTGGGTGGGGACGGGTGTTAGATGGGTCCAACAACCACCGACTTTCACCCAGCAGGTCCGTGTGGTGTTAACTTCCTGTAAGACTGTAAAGCCAAACCCTGTTCAAAACCAACCATGTGTGTTTGTTGTTAGTTGGTTGTGTTGTACTGACGTAGTGCTTTTATTTTGAAAGAGACTGCAGAAGTGTATTTTGAAAACAGACAATACATGTAACAGGCTGAAGTTGACACGGCGTCCCAGAACGTCAACAACCAACACACCCAGGGTACCTTGGACGTCATATGTGGACGTGGAAAGTCCATGACCAAACGTGGACATGTGAAGAAGTCGCAGTGAGGATGATGATGGATTTGAAAGAAAGAAATCCAACAGTCAAGTTTCTCTGCATCCGTTTGACTCCTGGTCGAGACGCTCTGCTAAGAATCGCTTCACCTCGTTAGTATGAACTTCAAAACTGTTTGGAAATGCAAAATAATGGAGTTTTGAACATTGAATTAAAAATGTGGTTAATTGCGATTAAAAGAATAAATCATTTGACAGCCCTGGTTATTGTTGATCTTCACCAGCTGCAACTTTAAACTGATGAACACATGACTTTTACATGTAACAGAGTATTTTTACGCTTTAGTATTTCTACTTTTACTGAAATAAAATATCACAGTCCTTTTTCCGCCTCTTGTCTGAGGTGTTCCAGCTTTAATCAGAGACCTCCCCTGACTCCAGCACTTTATATAAACGAACCTCTGATTATTTTTTGGCCGCGTCCCAACAGAAATCACAGCGTCCTCCTGGGTCACACCCCGACTCTGTTTCAATGTCAAACTACTTCCTGTTTCTTGTCTCCAAATCATTTCCCCAAAGGCAGAGAAAAAAAATCACTCTTCATTCAACAAGGGCGTTATTACAATGTGTGTGTGTGTGTGTGTGTGTGTGTGTGTGTGTGTGTGTGTAAACATTCCTGTAGCTGGGAGTCATCGGTCAGTCAGCTGGTAAACACACACACCTCACAAAAGAGCTGACACAATACTCATTAACTCCGCTTTCAACACAGGTCAACACACACACACACACACACACACACACACACACACACACACTCTCTCCAAACGTTCGTCCTCACTTCAGGTAATTAATGACATCCTTTCAGACGTGATGGAGAGAAAACAGGCTGTTTTCCAACATGGCCGCCTCGCCTGTCTGTCTCTGAGGTTATCACGTCCATTAATCTCAGTGGACTTCTGAGACACATCTGATATCTGTTATCTAACAACAACAATCGTTCCACCGGCACTAACTTTCCCTCCTCAGATCAGATCTCTGCTTCATGGGGGCCGTTACACAACTTTGTTCATCTACACAGATTCACACATACAGAGAGAACACTGAACACTGAGCAGGTCTACAGGAGCCTACAGAGGCTTACAGAGGTCCACATGAGCCTACAGAGGTCTACAGAGGCCTACAGAGGTCTACAGGAGCCTACAGAGGCCTACAGGGGTCTACAGAGGTCCACATGAGCCTACAGGGGCCTACAGAGGCCTACAGAGGTCTACATGGGCCTACAGAGGCCTACAGGGGCCTACAGAGGCCTACAGAGGCCTACAGGGGTCTACAGAGGCCTACAGAGGTCTACATGGGCCTACAGAGGCCTACAGAGGTCTACATGGGTCTACAGAGGCCTACGGGGGCCTACAGAGGTCTACAGAGGTCTGCATGAGCATACAGAGGTCTGCAGGGGCCTACAGGGGCCTACAGAGGCTTACAGA